ATAAAGAAGCCACTGTGAGTCCAGGTTCAGGTCAAGTCGCAGAGGAAGCTGTGGCTGTCATAAGTCCTGCCCCGGCAGCAGCAAAATCTGCTACTCAACCACTTGGACCTTCAGCCTCTGGGTATGATTGTCTCTGCTCTTAATTTGAGCATGTTTTGTTCTTACAATAAAACTTAAAATGTTAGCTTTGCTAACTGAACCTTTTGTCCTGATAGTACCGTTCGTCAGGAGAAGAGAGTCGAACGGGTGGAACCTCCGACTCAAAAACCAACTCCACGCACACCTGTCAAAACTCCCGGCAACCCCGCCTCCACACAGCCTGTGCCTAGCTCCAGGCCTCAGACCTCTGCTGCTTCCACACCAGCCACACCCAGCACGGCTGCCCCTGCGACAGCCGCTCTTCCCACCCCTGCACAGGTGAGAATCTGACTTTCCTGTTGTTGCTGCCGCCACATGAGCACACTCGTCTTCCTGATGATGAGATCTTTTGCGCATAGAGGGAAAGTGAGGTAGTGAATTGACTGGCTTTGGCTCTATCCCTCATCTCTGTCACTCTTTCTTTTTTCTTCTCTCTCTCCTTTCACCCCAACCCCACCCCTCATGCTTTTGTCTCACCAAAAGTCCAGAATTTTCACTCCTACCCCAATGAGCGTCAAGATTATGAGATCTGAGGGTTTGACTGGAAGGGTGGTAAAACTCAGTAAATGAGTGTATGTTTTACCCATCTTAAAAATGTTGTATTTTTCTGTTTTTGTTTAGGAGCCCCGTAAACTCAGCTACGCCGAAGTGTGTCAAAGACCACCCAAGGACCCTCCCCCTGCATCCCCTGCCCCAGCCACCCCGGCCACCCCTAGCACCGCGTCGGGCCAGCCACTACGTGAATTGCGCGTGAACAAGGCCGAGGAGCCGGGCTCCAGCAGCAGTCCGGGAGACAAGCACGAGAGAAGCCACGACAGGGAGGGGGGATGGGAATGCAAGGAGAGCCGGCCACCACGTGAACGTGACTCTCAAGGCTACCACCGCAGCAATGGTCCCAGGGGCACCGGGGGCCTCAAGTTCCGGGACCATAGGCGTCCTCCACCAGCCCGACGCAGCTCCCCGCAGGGAGGATACAGGCACACTGGAAAAGAGCAGAACATCCCACCAGTATCGCCAAAATAAAAACTTGATATCAATAGAAAAAAGATGTATGAATATATACATGGATATATATAATTATATAAAAATGAATAACATAAAAGCAACAACAATTATGGTAGCCACCTTCCCCACCCCCCTGGAACATGTCCAAAGAGAGGCTTTTAAAGTGGCAATGAGACTGACATCCAGGACTTATGGGCAAAATGACACCTGAAGAACTTTGACGAGTGATTGGAAAAGAAACAAAAACGTTGTTTTGGCCTTCAGAAATACGCTTAAAAGAATTTAAGTGTGACTTACCTGAAGGTTGTTGATTCGTTCATGCTCCGCTAGGGAAAGGTGGGATGCTGGGCCTCGTAAATGGCCCTCTACCTTTTTTTTCTCTCTTTCTTTTTTTAATTAAAGAATAGATGTTGGTCTGCAAGAACAATATGCACTAAGAAAAAAGAACATGCATATATGTCATGTACATATACAAAGATATCACTAACACGCAATGAGACATCAGTTTTTGTTTCGTTTTTTCTCTTGTGTGCTTAGGTTTGCAAGTATGACTGAAGGGTTGACTGATGTCTGTGTATGCATCGATTGTTAAGCTAAATGACTGAAGTGCTGCAGGGTGCTGTCGCACTGATGTAATGATATTGAGAACATTTTGATTTTTACAGCAGAGATTCTGAATCGTCCTGAAACGGGACAATGTGGTCTTCTAATGTATATCAATGAATTGTGTTCTATGGTGGTATTTTGATCCTGGTTCATGATTGGCTTAAACGCTCTCCGTCAGATTATCAGAAGGTGTTGACACGCGCCGCGGTCAGATGTGTGATTTTTGTTCAAAGCCCGGATGCTCTGTAAGCGGGGGGGGGGGCTCACTGGGCCTCACTGGGCTGTTAGCCGCGGTGAACCTGCTAGCCTGGTCCAAAGTTTTTCACGTTGAGTTTTACGTGTCTTGAGTTTAACTGTTCCCGATGAATTCAGAATATTGTCATGTTGATTATCAGTCAGGTTCTCTGTTTACATGTTTTGTTGTGGGTTTTGTTTTTTGGGGGGTTCGTGTGTTTTCATGAGGAAAAACAAATAGGTTTTTGCTAAGATTTGACTGCTTGGTGCGCCCAGTGGTTTTAGGCAAGGTTTGGCTTTTCTACATCATCATCATCATCATCACGGGATATCCAGGTTAAGCTTATCTGTGAATTTGTTCTTAACAATGGCATAATGTCAAAAAAAATAGACTGAGTGCTGTTAGCTAATGATGATAGCTATTTACTATCAGGCAGCCAAGTTGTGGGTATAAAGGAAATTGGAATATTTTCACGTGCTACGTGCCAGCTGGCTGCGATTATAGTGTGCTAGGATAAAGTTTAGATTTTTATTGATGAGGTCTGCTAATGTAATCTTTGGGGGAACTCTTTGGCCCAGTGAAACTGGATTTTGAAAAAGCTGTAGAGGTGTAGTAACCTATGCTATATTGTAATAACCCTTCACTAGAAACGTGTGTGGGAGAATGTAATTGTTCTAGTATTGAATTTACAGAGGGAGGCTTTTGACCAGTCAATCCACCAGATTGTTTTGTGCTTTTAGGGTGAGTTTGCCGTTTTGTTTTGTTTTCCTTTTGTTTTTTTTTCTTCTAAGTTTTGGAAAACAAACAGGTTAACTTAGAATTTGAAGTTTGACTCACTGTATGTATTGCTTTCTTAAATTTATTTATTTTAATTCTAATGCAGCGCTTTTCTCCCAATCTTGGTAGGCTGGTTTCCCCAAAGTTGTGTGAAATCGCATTGGCAAAAATGAAAAAATCACATATGACATTTCTGTACCGATCAAGATGTCAGCTGAGAGAAAATACTTGTTGCGTTGACTTTGGGATTAGTAATGCAGTAAACGAGTATCCAATCACTGGAGCTGTTTTTTGTTTTTTTGTTTTTTTCATTAATAAGTATGAGCAGCTAGTGATTTAGTATAATTAAAGAAATGCACTAACTTTGTTTTTAAAAAGAATCTTACTCATGAGTAATGTGAAATCATTTTAGAAGCATATGGTTGATGTTGACAGGCTTGCAAAAATACCTACAGGATTTGCTCCCCCCCCCTTCCCCCCCAATATGTTTGGGTTATTTTCTGTTAATTTGGGTTGGGGTGGCAAATGGAAATGTAGTCATGAATCAACCAAGTGTTTGAGACACAATCTTAGAACTGTATGAAATGTCACCAAAAATAAATTATTTTGATTTGGCTTCCCAGTGTCACATTTATTACTGTTGTTTTGTTTTAAGCACATACACGAAACATATGTTTTTCTTTTAGTGTATCAAGCTGTTAATAGAACTACAGACTGAATATCCTGCATCTCTGATCATTTGTTACATTGTTTATTTTTATTTTATTCTTTTTAAAACATTTAAAGTCAAAAAGAGCAGACAACATTTTTCCAGTCTTCCACTGTGAAATTGTGTGTATTACAGCTTCAGTCTTCAGAAGTGTGGTCTTCTGCTCCTGTAGCACATCTGCTTCACGGTCCAATGTGTTCAGAGAGGCTCTTCCTCATACTTCTGTTGTAGCAAGTGGTTATTTGAGTGACTATTGGCTCAAAGCTGGCTGGCCAATCTGCCACCAACAAGTCATTTTGACACAGACCTGCCTACATGGTGAATATCATTTTATCAGACCATTCTCAGTAAATGGCTGTAGGGGGAAATCCCAGTGGATCAGAAATGATGTTGGTCTCAGTTCCACCATCAGGCCAGGGTCTTTCCGTGTGGAGTTTGCATGTTCTTCCCGTGTTTGCGTGGGTTCTCTCCAGGTACTCCGGCTTCCTCACAAATTCCAAAGACATGCAGTTAGTGGGAATAGGTTAATCGGTAACTCTAAATTGACCATAGGTGTGAATGTGAGTGTGAATGGTTGTTTGTCTCTTTCTTAGCCCTGCAGCAAACTAGCAACCTGTCCAGAGTGTACCCTGCCTCTCGCCCTGAGACAGCTTGAATAGGCTTCAGCCCCCTCCCCAACAAGGATAAGCGCAAGAGAATGGATTCATGCATTTCAGCTGGTACAGGGTCTAGATTTTTCACTGCAATGCCACAGGTGGTGTTAATAAGTATTGTGTCACTCCATAAAAAATTTTCACTGCCTCCCACCTGAATGACAAATTTCATTCGGCTTCATGCACTCTTATGATGATTCATAATTGCTGGAAAACAACAACAACAACAAAAATAAATAAAATTAGCACATATTTTGTGGGGGAGGAGGGAGCTTCCCTCCTGCTGTAGAGCCTTGCCCCCTAAGCTGCCCACCTTGTACAAACTAATTGCTTGTTTGTCCAAAAGCCTCTTATAGCCTTTGTTTTCTTAGGAGATAATGATACAATAAATAATTTTTAAGTGTTTTTGTCAATAATTTCTTGATTCTGTTTACGTATAGGGGATTTTGACATATTTTTCTGAAGAGGTATGTACCACCCTGCCAAGACATTTTTGCCCCCCCACGCGCAATGTGAAATTTTCTAGATCCGCCACTGACGTATGGCCTATATGTGGTTCGGCTACCCATTTTTAGGCTCGTATGCTGAGGGTTGATGTCGGCATTTGACTATCAGGTTCAGGATTAGGTTAAACCTTAGGGATAAAGTAAGAAGATGATAAAAACTGCTTATCCTTAGCTAGTACTCTCCTGATCATCGGAGTCCAACTCCCCACCTCCTCTGCCGCTATTTCTGCTAGCTGAGCCCCTAACATGGACATAAACTGAAAGAATCCGTGGCACGCCGGTGGTAGCCTGCCGTGCCGTCATACATGCTTTTATTGGGATAAGTGAGTACACTTGGCGGGGACGTGAAGTTCTGCCAGGCCCCGTAAACCTCGGTGTTCAGAGAAAATGTCAGGTTATACCAAATTACTGCGGACAGTCAGCGTCCGCTCTGCCCGCGTTTAAATACCGAGGTTCGAGACAGAGGGCGTGGCCCTAGTGGTGACGTTTCGTGTTTATGTGAAAGCTAGCAGCGGTCGGTCTATACAGTAACCTGCCAGACCTTCAAGCCGTGGACTGTAAACGGTATGGGTTTTCACCAGCATTGTTTAATTCTTGTTGATTCGTGCGAGCTGTGTTGGAAGGCGAGTTTACAAGTAGTTGGTAATTATGTCAGCAGTTTTTCTCCGTCTGTGAGTGTCGTTTGTTCCTGCATCTTGAAGCTAACATTACCTCGCAGCTAGCTAGCCTAGCTAGCAGGATAGTGGGAAGTGTAGCCGGGTATGATTGTTTTTCTTTTGCCTATAAACTCCACCGGTCAGCGCGAAGTAACCCTTGTGGTTTCTACGTCAACGTTAAAGCTTTTACTTGATTGTAAACCTTGTGTCATTGTTGCAGACTTTGTTTATTTTTGCAGAGTGAGCTAAGGTTAGCTGTGTGTGTCAGTCATTTGTTAAAAGCAGCGGCGATAGCTGCTTATATATATATATGGCTGACAAGTGGGTCGTATCTACTTGAGTTAGGTAGCAACAGCAAAATAAAGTTGGGTGTCATCTCCCAGATTACAGCTGAGCCTTGCACCATCTAGATTATACGACAAGACATCGTGTCCAACCCACACCCAAACAGATAATAGTCGGGAAAGATAATTTTAAATATTAATTTTGGTATTTTAACAAAGCTGTGTGAAATTTCGGTCTTTAGTTAAACAATTTCTAACACATTCTGTATGTGAATTGAAAATATTTTGTATTTATAGCAAGCATATAACTCATCAAACCAAAGCACTGGTATACTGAATAAAACAGGTCTGCGTGCATACTTAGGCACGATAAACTGTGAAATGTCTGTTTTATATTCTGTTGACTTATTTAAGATTCACTGTGTCTTAGAAGTTGTAATCAAGTAATTTTTAAAAACTGTGTTTCAGTGTGCCATAGCGTCACCCCTGCCTGGGTGCAATGCTCTTCTGTTACACATGAGCTCTACTATGTGGTACATCATGCAAAGCATTCAGAGTAAATATTCCCTGTCTGAGCGGCTCATCCGAACAATTGCAGCCATTCGCTCATTCCCACACGACAATGTGGAGGATCTTATCCGTAAGGTAAGCTTGCTTATCTTCCAGTCAAACTGACGTAAACAATCCCCTGTAGTGTCACGAGTGTCATGTTGATATTGTTATTTCCTGGCTGATTAAGGGTGCTGATGTGAATCGGATGCATGGCACACTCAAACCCCTGCACTGTGCCTGTATGGTTGCTGATGCTGACTGTGTGGAGCTGCTGCTGGAGAAGGGGGCAGAGGTATGTTACAGCTGACTTGCACACGGAAGTTTTTCATATTCACTTTAGATTTATTCGGCACCTTTAAAGGTTTTGGCCTTAAGGCGGGTAAGTATGCATGCAAACACAGTCAGTGTAAGTGTGAGCAGGACAAGGGTTAAAAGCTTTTAAAAGGTAAAGAAGAAACCTAGCATTGTTTACACTGAAGGATTCATGTTGAGTCATGATCTGAAACCACTGGCTGTCTGGAAAGATAGTGAAATTGTATCAGTTTATTTTAGTAGTACTGTGTATATGTGGTGGGGATATGGGAGAATTTAAAGGGTTAATTGTTACAATTATTTAATGGAAACTATCCTCTATAAATTGAGTTTTACTTTCAGGTCTCACAGCATTCACATTCATTCCCTGTTTCTTTAGATGATCACTGAGCAGTTTTCATTTGGACTATTTGGTAGACTGTTGTTCTTTTGTTTTTGATATAATTTAATGGTGCAAACAATTTCTGAATCATCTGGTTATTCCATTTCACCCTCGTTTTACATCTGTGCTGCAGCACATGAGCCAAAATATCTGGCAGGTGTTGAGATGCCTACACAGTCACTTCTCAGGGCACCCTGCAGCTTTGTGCTATTTAATTAAGTCTTGTTGGCATAAGACTGCTCATTATACTGAATTTTCTCATCAGGTAAATGCTTTGGATGGCTATAATCGTACAGCACTGCACTATGCAGCAGAGAAGGATGAGAGCTGTGTGGAGCTGCTGTTGGAATATGGAGCCCAGCCAAATGCCCTGGATGGCAATAAAGACACTCCTCTTCACTGGGCCGCCTTCAAAGATAATCCTGAGTGTGTAAGGGCCCTGCTGGAGAGCGGGGCCTGTCCCAATGCCCGTGACTATAACAATGACACACCTCTTAGCTGGGCAGCAATGAAAGGCAACCTTGAAAGTGTCAAAGTGCTATTAGACTATGGAGCGCAGGTCCATGTAACTAACCTGAAGGGCCAGACCCCTATCTCCCGGCTGGTGGCCCTGTTGGCCCGAGGCCTGGGCACCGAACAAGAGGAAGAGTGTTTGGAGCTACTGTGTCGAGCAGCAGGGAGGTTTGAGATTCGACGGGCCGACGGCACCCTTCCCAGGGAGCTGAGTAAAGATCCCCAGCTGCTGGCGAGGCTGACCAACATGGTGGCTCAGGCGCCCACGCTTCGCTCTCTGGCACGCTGTGCAGTACGGCAAAGTCTCGGAGTGCAATTCCTCCCCACGGCTGTCAAAGAGCTTCCTTTACCAGAGACTATCAAAGACTATCTGCTGTTGAGAGACTGAGAATGAAGCTGTTTCCTCAGACCTCACTGGCTCATTATTAAAGAGCTCATCACACTGCGTTGCACACTGCAAGGAAGTGTCTGCACGGAATTAAAGAGTTGTCCAACCTTTCTGCAATTTATTACAATATATGTGATAGGAGGAATAATGAACTTAATGTATTTTTCTTTACAAAAAATCTAAATACGCAGTGAGTGAAGTGCAGATGAATATATTTAAATTTGTCGAATCAAGTTGGCACCAGTTCATTCTCCTCATGCGTTGAGTATCTCAAAGCCTGTTTTAAGGAAATCTTTCTCACTTTCTTTGCAGAAAGAAAGTATAACATCAGGTTTATTCAGCTCCACCATAGTAACGGTGTATGTTTTTGCATCCAATCATCCAGCTGTTTTGGTTCATGAATAGTCAGAAATTAAAGTTATCATCTTGCCTGCTAAATTCACAGGAAGTATGAATGTTACTTTTTAAAATGTAAATATAATTTAAAAGAGTTTGCCACAGACAATGAGGAAAGTCATAAATTACAGAATGAGTATATGCTCATTATACCTTTTTAGAGTGAAACAAACAGTTGATGAATGAGGACTCATGGCCATTGGTGCATGCTGTCCTGTGTCGTGTGAAGGTGGTTTATATGTTGGAGTTGGAGTGGTCACCTTTCTCTCAGACACCCTGAAGAGCTCACGCTGCAGTCATTTTTGATATAACAATAGAAGTAAACACATCAGATTTAAAGAAAACAGAGTGTGGGGGTTAACACAGCAAGAACGTCCTCGTTTTGAATCCACTGGATGGCTGGTGTGAAGTTTTCATGTTCTCCCCATGCCTGCGTGGTTTTCTCTGGGTTACTCCAGGTTACTCCCACGCTCTGAGAACATGCATGTCAGGTTAACTAGAGAATTGGCTGCGAGTGTTCGTTTTTCTCTGTGTTAGCTCTGTGACAGACTGGCGGCCTGTTGGGGTTGCACCGTTCTTTTTGTCCTGTGACTGCAGGGATGGATAGCCCCACCCCACCAAAAAAAATGTGAGGCTCAAAAATGGATGAATGGATAGAAGAAAACACTTGAGCAGATTAGAAATTATGCCAGATGGCAGCAGTTTTATTTATGTCGATGCAGCAGAAGGTTGGTAACTATTACTGGTTTCACATGATGTGCCAGGCACACTAACTTTGCCTCCATAGTCTTTGGAAGTTATTCTGCTCTAGCAAGTCTACAGTCTTGTGATTTAGTATTTATTTGGTCTATATTTTAATAAAATGAAATAAAAAGGTTCAGTTCCAGTTGCCAATAAGGAATAAAGTTGTTGTTTTTTGTTTTGTTTTTATTATCAGTGGATGTTTTCAGTCTTAACTTGCAAAAGTTTGTGTTTCAAGGGTGCTCGCTGGTCCAACATTTTGCAGGATATTTGAAAGTGACTTTATTTTAAATTGTTATGTATTAGGACCATGATATGGCATGATGACTAAGTTTGTGTCTTTGAAGGATTCACTAACTTGCAATTTGTTAAAGCACTTGTCTACAATCTGACAATTTCTGTGCTTGATTATGTTTGCCTTTCTACAAATGTGTAAAAGTTAACCTCTAGATCATGTCTTGTGTACACCAGCAAAGGTGCTTTTTTTTTCTTCTTCTTTGTAAACATACTGCAAGTAAATGCCTTTATATTCCAGCTCACTCTTTTCTCTCTGCTCTTCACAAAAATCACACATTGATAGCTCATATATATCAAGTCACAATTAATTACATCTAATAGAGAATACTTAATGTCTATACCTGTTATTGACAGCGCTGTGATTGCTTTACAATATGCATATACAACACAGGTTATATCTAATAACAAACTGGCACAGTAAGCACTGTGACTGATGACCAAACATTCACAGTGACAGCGTTTTAAAACACAAGTCATGATGTTTTTTTAAAACTTTGTTCCTGCTTCTGGCATGTCAAATATCTTTCATTAAAGAGACCATAGACCGAGTGCAATTATTAAAGCTCAGTGCATGGCTACAAGCTACCATGAACTGAACATAACATAACAACATATGTAGGTTTGTCAAAATATACACTCACGTGTTACTTTCTTTAGATGCATCTTGCTAGTACTGGGTTGGACCCCTTTTTTACTTTCAGAGCTTCTTTAATTCTTCATAACAAGGTTCGCCTGCTGGAAACATTTTTAAGAAATTTTGGGCCATATTGACATGACGACATCACATAGTTGGGCAGATTTGAGGGCCACAGGTCCATCATGTGAAGCACCCGATCCACCACATCCCAAGCGTGCTCTGGTGAACTCATTGTCATTGTACAAGAAACCAGTTTGAGATGATTTGAGCTTTGTAACATGGTGCATTTTTCAGAAGATAGCTACGCTGTGGTTATAAAGGGACGCACATGTTCAGCAATAACACTCAGACTGTGGCATTTAAATGATGCTTAGTTGTTACTAAGTGGTCCAAAGTGTGCCAAGAAAATATCCCTTCACCATTACACCACCGACAGACTTAACAGTTACACGGCAGGATAGATCCGTGCTTTCATGTTGTTGTTTTTTTCGGACCCTACGCCCATCAGACCAGACAGCGTTTTTTCAAATCCTTTGTGCTTTGTTTTAGGCAAGCTTCACTTTCCTGTTCTCAGCTGTCAGGAGTAGCATACGGTGTGGTCTACTGCTGCTGTAGCCCTTATGCTTTGTGGTTCCATGTTCAGAGATGCTCTTTTGCATACGGAGTGGTTATTTGAGTTACTGTTCCCTTCCTATTAGGTCTAAGCAGTCCAACTATTCTTCTTTCCCATTCTCATGTGCATTTTGGACTTCATCAGGTCGTCTTCATCTCTAATTGCCAAAATGCATTGAGTTGTTGCCATGTAATTGGCTGATATTTGTGTTAATGTACAGTTGAAAAGTGTACCTAATAAAGTGACCAGTGGGTGTATAACCTAAATTCAGAAGTAATATTCATGATGTTCTGCATCTAACATATTCTCTCAAGGACATGAATAATAATTTTAAAAAAAAAGAGTGTTAGTACACATATTGGAGTGGATCACAGTGGCTACAGCGAGCAGTTCAGAGGAAACGGATAATATATTTATACTTAGTATTTGTGAAGTAATTTCTAATTGTAGTGCAAAAAATACCCAGAGTATCGATGGAGTTATGATAGAAATGCTATTTACAACAGTTAAACATAAGGTTTGTATTTAATTTTACATTTTAAAATGCTAAATGCTTTTTTTCTGGGGAAAGCTCTTGACAAACATATTTAAGTCAAAGAAATGACCAATTATACCGTTACTTCAGTGTGTGGGAAAGAATGCAAAAACAAAACAAAACAAAAAAAAAGATCACGTGAATGTTTCCACGATGAAAAGAAGAAAAGCTTGTTCAGTGATCACTCGGGAGAACCGGGAGTGCTTTACTACTATTGTTTAGTTCATAAGCAGTTTTGGTAAATCCAACTTTGTTTCATTTTTTCTCTCTAGGAGTTTATTCATCTCATATACCTGTTTTTAAGAAACTCTCAGGTAGCTTTGGGTTTATGTCCAGGCTCAGTGGGCTTTATAAAAGATCCTTTTCTTGTATTTTAAGTGATTTCATGTTTGTATGCCAGCTTTACTCACAGGAGTGTTCCAAGATTAATTTATCAAACCAACGAATTGTGCAAAAAATTGTATAAATAGTTTTGTGTATTAGAATGAATACATATCATACTGATACAATGCTTAAAACATTTATTAGACCAGCAGTCATTAATAACAGGAAAGCACAAATATTGTTTTTAAATCTGGCAAAAACTTGTTTAAAACTAAAAGTCAAAGGAACTGAATTCATCTTTTTATACCCATATTTTGGCCTGCACACTGGACCAGTCTGAGAATTCAGAAATTAATCAGACATAACATTCAATCACTAAAACATTTTTTTTCTAAAGCAAATTAAATAACTTCTTTAATATTTTTTCCCTTTTTTTTGTCAAATAATAAATGTGAAAATATTACATTGTATGAGGAGCAAGATACTGTATTTTACACCAACAAGATGTGTATGTAAGAATTTATTAGCGGTTCAAGTCGGGCAGCCTGTGCGTGGGAGTTCAAAACACAGACAGTGCGCATGCGTGCGACGTGAAGACGCGAACGCTTTGATCGCCTGTGACGTAGCGAACGCTTTGACGTGCCCGTGACGTTACAGTCAACTGAGCCCTTATATAAACCCCGCCCCGCCCTCACAATCTACTACTTACCGTTAAGTAAATGAGATGTACAGACCGCGATCTTCACACTCTAGAAACTTCGATTTTCAAAGTCCTTCAAATAATTTTACTGAAACAGAAACGTCCACAATGGCTGAATTTCAGACTACAGGCTCTATCCCCATTATTCCCGAGCATATTTTACCTACTTTAACCAAGTGTTTCGATCAGTTCTCCCAGGTACAATGGGGAATGATTGAACAGGGAATCTGGGACTCTGATCTCCAAGCATTACTGGCTGATATGATAACCGAAATCATTCAGATAGTTTCTACCGGCATCCTGAAATCTGTACTTCCCACATTTCAGGAGTTAATGACAGACGAATTGTCCCAAACAGATATTAGCATACCTGTGGCAAAAATAGCTCCGTCGCTGGGAGACTCTCTTTCAACCAGCATCGGCATCGCTCTTAACATCCCCCATGAAAACTGTCCGTCCAGTAAGACGCTGACAAAACTGATTGAATCGGAGATCTCAGAAAAGGTTAACTCAGCTGTGACTCTACTCTTAAACAACCCGAATTTACGGTCAGATCCTGCTGTTTATGTCAGTGGAAAAATGATATCCACATATAACCTTCGACGCATGGTCTCTCACGCAGCCTCGTGTTTGGAAAAATGTGCAGGTAAGCTAAGCAGCCAGCGCATGTCAAAGGGCGGCGCAGCTAGTTCCCCTAGCCCGTCTAATTCAAGAGCAGAGAGTACTGAATCAAAGATCTCTGAGAAGGCAATGGTTGTTGAGGAGGTGAGCAGCACTCTCACCAAATGGAGCACAGACACAGGAATCACAGAGGACAATAAGGATGAAAATGACATGACGCCTGTAGAGAAAAAAGAAAGTGAAACTGGAGAGATGGCGGAAAGTCGTTCCAGCACCCCAGGTGAAGTGATCGTGGCTGATGTTGTCAATGCAATATTTGACACTCTGAAGAATTCGAATGCCGAAGATGACACAGAAACTGAGACAGCTGAAAGTCTCCAGCGTCCCAGCACGCCAGCACAAATAGCTGCAGCTGACATTGTAAACACAATAATTGATAATCTGCAGTCTTCTGATGGTGAAGATGTCACATCTGGTGAGAAATGTGACTCAC